CAACTGCTTTTTGGAAGTGAGGATACTGAAAAAAAAAAAAATCTTCACTGAAGAATAAATTGACAAATTTTAGTTGTACATCAATGACTTTTGACAAAAGTATTCACATATGTTAACAGTAAAAATATACGGAATGTTTCCATTTACCCAGGTAGTTCCCTCATGTTAGTTTACCACCAACCTGATTAATAAATTAATTTTATTTGTCAAACTTTTTAATTAAATGTAAAGGTAGTTGGAACAACCATCAGTTAAATAAAAAAATTCTTACTGTTATGATCCGTTGCCCAGGTTGGAATGTGGTGGCCCTATCATGGCTCTCTGCAGCCCCAAACTCCTAGGCTTAGGCGATCCTCCCACCTCAGCCTCTCGCATAGCTAGGACTACAGACACATGCCACCATGCCCAGCTAATTTATTTTTTTGTAGAGACAGGGGCCTCACTATGTTGCCCAGGCTGGTCCTGAACTTCCGGGCTCAAGCAATCCTCCTGGCTCATCCTTTGTAATAGTTTTGGGGGAGCCAGGAACCTCGCTCATAAGAGACGGTAAAATCGATAAAGGTTGTGTGCTCTGTTTCACTGAGCGGCCGTTGTCCCATCTCTCTTCCTTTCCTTGGGCCTGCCTATTCCCCCAGACACAATATTGAAATTAGGCCAATTAATAACCCTACAACGGCTTCTAACAGTTCAAGTGAAAGGGAGAGTTGCATGCTTATCACTTTAAATCAAATGCTAGAAATGATTAAGGTTAGTGAGGAAGGCATGTCAAAAAGCTGAGAGGCCGAAAACTAGGCCCCTTGTGGTAAGCATTTACCCAAGTTGAGAAGTCAAAGAAATAAGCTGTTGAAGGAAATTATAAGTGCTACTCCACTCAACATACAAATGATAAGAAAGCAAAACAGCCTTGTTGCTAATAGGGAGAAAGTTTTAGTGGTCTGAAGAGAAGATCAAACAGCCACAACATTCCCTTAAGCCAAAGCCTAATCCAGAGCAAGGCCCTAACTCTCTTCAATCCTATGAAGGTTGAGAGAGGTGAGGAAGCTGCAGAAGGAAAGTTGGAAGCTGACAGAGTTTGGTTCATGAGGTGTATGGAAAGAAGTCATCTCCATAATATATAAGTGCAAGGTGAAGCAGCAGGTGCTGATGGAAAAGCTGCAGCAAGTTATTCAGAAGATCTAGCTAAGATAACTGAAGGTGTTGGCATTCAGTGATAGATTTTCAATGTAGACAAAACAGCCTTGTATGGGAATAAGATGCCACCTAGCACTTTCATAGCTAGAGAGGGAAAGTCAATGCCTGGCTCCAAAGCTTCAAATAGGATGACACTCTTGTTTGGGGCTAATGCAGCTGGTAATTCAAGCTGAAGCCAATGCTCATTTACTATTGTGAAAATCCTGATGTTAAATCTACTCTGCTTACGCTCCAAAAATGGAACAACGAAGCCTGGATGATAGCACACCTATTTATAGCATGGTTTACTGAATATTTTAAACCCACTGTTGAGAACTACTGCTCAGAAAGATTTCTTTCAAAATATGACTGCCCATTGACAATGAATCTAGTTACCCCAAGAGCTCCGATGGAAACATATAAGGAGATTAATGTGGTTTTCACGACCATTAATACAACATCCATTCTGCAGCCCATGGATTGAGGAGTCATTTCAACTTTCAATTCTTATTATTTAGGAAATGCATTTCATAAGGCTCTAGCTGCTATAGACAGTGATTCTTCTGATGGATATGGGTGAATTAAAAAAGAAACTTCTGGAAATAATTCACCATTCTACATACTAGATATTCGTGATTCAAGAGAGGTCAAAATAGCAACATTAACAGAAGTTTGAAAACATTGGTTCCAACTCTCATGGATGAGTTTGAGGGGTTTAGAACTTCAGTGGAGGAAGGAACTGCAGATGTGGCAGAAATAAAAGAATCAGAAGTGAACCCTGAAGACGTGAGTGAATTGCTTCAATCTCATACTAAAACTTCAGTGGACGAGAAACTGCATCTTATGGATGAGCAAAGAAAGTTTCTTGAGATAAAATCTACTCCTGGTGAAGATACTGTAACATTGTTGAAATGACAACAAAGCATTTAGAATATATAAACTTGGTTGATAAAGCAGCAGCAGGGTTTGAGAGGATTCTGTTCAATTTTATTATTATTATAACTTTTTAATTTTTTGAGACAGAGTTTCGCTCTGCTGCCCAGACTGGAGTGCAGTGGAGTAATCATAGCTCACCACAGCCTTAACCTCCTGGGCTCAAGCGATCCTGCCGCTTCAGCTTCCCAAGTAGCTGGGACTACAGACATGTGTATTTTTAATCCTGGCTGATTAAATTTTTTTTTTTTTTTTTTTTTTTCCAGAGACAGGGTCTTGCTATGTTGCCAAGGCTGGTCTCAAACTCCTGGCCTCAAGCAGTCCTCCCACCTTGTCCTTCCAAAGTGACAGGCATGAGCCACCATGCCCGACCCCATTCCAATTCTGAAAGAAGTTCTACCACTTGCAATATATTCTCAAACACGATTGCATGCTACAGATAAATGTTTTCGTGAAAAGAAGAGTCAATTGGTGTAGCAAACTTCATTGTTGTCTTATTTTAAGAAACTGCCACAGCTATCCCAATGTTCAGCAAGCACCACCCTGATCAGTTAGCAGGCATCAACACTGAGGCAAGACCTTCCACTAGCAAAAAGATTAGAACTTGCTGAACGCTCAGATGATCATTAGTGTTTTTCAGCAATACAAGATTTTTTTTCTTAGACATAATGCTATTGCACATTTAACAGACTACAGTATAGAGTAAGCATAACTTTTACAGGCACTGGGAAACAACAACAACAACAACAACAAAAAAACCATGCCCAGCTAATTTTTGTAGGGATGGGGTTTCGCCATGTTTCCCAGGTTGGTCTTGAACTCCTGAGCTCAAAGTGGTCCACCCGCCTTGGCTTCCCAAAGTGCTGGGATTACAGGCGAGAGCTACTGTGCCCAGCCTGCTTAAGTTCTTTTGTTTTGTTTTGTTTTTGAGAGGGAGCCTCGCCCTTGTCACCCAGGCTGGAGTACAGATGGGGCCATTTTGGCTCACTGCAACCTCCACCTCCCGGGTTCAAGCAATTCTCCTGCCTCAGCCTCCTGAGTAGATGGAATTACAGGAGCCCACCACCACACTCAGCTAATTTTTGTATTTTTAATAGAGATGGGGTTTCACCATGTTGGTCAGGCTGGTCTCGAACTCCTGACCTCAGATTATTCACCTGCCCTGGCCTCCCAAAGTGCTGGGATTACAGGCATGAGCCACTGCGCCTGGCTTTCAAGTTCTTAAAGAAAAAAAAAAAAAGAATATATATAATTCGCTTCTGGTTTGAATATGAGAATCCTAGAAACCATTTTAAGATTGGTGTTAACAGTCTACATACCGTGAGGTAAGGAATCAGAGGAAAGACTAAATAGTACATGTAGGATGTTTAAGAATTCACTTGAAGCGAGTTAAATGCTTTGCTTCTTGCTTTAATTCCTTCTTTGAAGTAATAGGTAACATAGATTTACATTTCAGTTAATTGCTAAATTATAAAGCTATTATAAAAGGCAGATTATTTCATAATAATAAGAATGAGAATGTATGATTCAGGCATTACACAATTTTCTTTTTTTTTAAGTTTAAGGGTTTTATTATCAAAGTATTAAAAAATAATTTCAGAAATTGTACATCAACATGGCACAAACTGTAGCCTACTTTTTACTGCACAAAAGTGGAGCTTGAAATGCCTCTAACAAAGAAAACAGTTGCCTAACTACTTTGCATATATAACATGAAATCACTGTGTGCATAAGAATACTACTGCAGTAACACAAATTTATCGGTTTTATACAACTTGAGATTTTATTATTTTTTTTGAGACAGAGTCTCACTCTGTTGCCGAGGCTGGAGTGCAGTGGCACAATCTAGGCTCACTGCAACCTCCACCTCCCGGGTTCAAGTGTTCTCCTGCCTCAGACTCCTGAGTAGCTGGGATTACAGGAGCCCACCAGTAATTTTTCTATTTTTAGTAGAGATGGGGTTTCACCATGTTGGCCAGGTTGATCTCGATCTCCTGACCTCAGGTGATCCGCCTGCCTTGGCCTCCCAAAGTGTTGGGATTACAGGTGTGAGCCACCACGCCCAGTCAATTTGTCTTATTTTAAAAGCATATGAAGGACAATTTAAAATGCACTATCCCTTTTTTCCAACATTGAGCTTACGACAAATTAATGGAAGAGTGGAAAATTCAAAATAAGGGCAAGAGATAAGTTTTTTCTTTGTTTAAGATGGACTCAGGATAGGTAGATAGCTTTCACTGATGTAGATGTGGAATAAATTATTTCAGGAAAAAAAATTCCCAAACATCTTATGAAAAAGTATACAACTCTACTTCAAAATATACTATTTACTCACTGCCAAAGACAGTTTTACTTGAAATCTTGTTTCTGTAATTAAACCCTAATTAGCCATCAAAAAAGGTTAGTGCATAATAACCAAAGTTAAACCAAAATGACAAAAATTTTGCCACAAGGCTTAAAGGATTATCTATTTCTTTTCTTTTCCTTCTTTCTTTCTTCTTCTTTTTTTTTTTTTTTGAGATGGAGTCTCGCTGTGTCGCCTAGGCTGGAGTGCAGTAGCATGATCTCAGTTCACTCTGCTTCCTGGGTTCAAGTGATTCTCCTGCCTCAGCCTCCGGAGTAGCTGGTATTACAGGCATGCACCACCATGTCTGGCTAATTTTTGTGTGTGTGTGTGTGTGTGTGTTTTAGTATAGATGAGGTTTCGCCATGTTAGCCAGGCTGGTCTAGAACTCCTCACCTCAGGTGATCTGCCCGCCTTGGCCTCCCAAAGTGCTAAAATTACAGGCGTGAGCCACTGTGCCCAGCCGGATTATCTATTTCAAATGCTCATTTCCAGATGGAACTATAAGAATGTTAATTTGTCACGTCAACAAACAAGACCATAAGTAGATCCATCATGTTGGAGGATTTTAATGACATTTAGGATATTCTTGCCACAATAACATGCAATCAGTGCATTTCCTACATGGCTCTATTAACCCGATGCATAACATTCTAGAAGTACTATAAGTGAACTTAATAAAGGAAATTATATGACATAAACAATCCATTCCTGCTGTAGGAGCATGCAGCTTTTCATTTCTGTTATGAAGCAGCACCAAGAGTAAAACTGGTTACTCCATCAGATGTCACCATGACAAGAATTGCTTACGTCATACCATTTTCTAAAAGCTTTTTGATGTAAATTAGTATCAATAACGGGTGCTTTATAGCCATTAATAACTCAGAGCTGTATACATCTAGGTTTGAGATGAACAAATATAGCATTCAGAAATCACACAAAGGAATGACACTGATGCATATATACAGTTGGATTCCCATAGAGGCAATATTCAGTCACTCATACCCATGTCTTCTTCATGATGATCATTCCCATTCACTTTGGATTCTCTTAGTGAATCATCAGTTCCCTTTTCCACAGAACATTTCTTTGTTTTAGGGGAACCTGCTTCTATTGCTTTCTTCTCTTCTTTTTTCCTCTTTCTTGCTGTCATAACCCGGTTCCTCTTCATCATAAACCCGTGTAACTTTTACATCTATATCACTCTCTGATTTTCTTTCCTGATCCTTTTCCTTATCTTTACTCTTCTTCTTGTTTGTTGATCGTTCTCTTTCACCCCTACTATCTTTCTCCCTACTCTTTCATCCCTACTATCTTTTTTCTTCTTTTTATGTCTCCCAGGGGATGGTGAGAGAGACAATTTTCTTTTAGGAGACTGCGACTTTTTGGGAGATCTTGTTCCAGTCCTGCTTCTTCGTTGTCGTCTCTGTTTGTACTTCTACAATGTCTGGCTCTGCTGTAATTTTTTGGTGGTGTTTTAGAACGTTTCTTTCGTCTTATTTCTTTTCGTCTCTCGTTTTTGATGTGCTCCTTGATCTTCTACCTCTCTCTCTGGAATGAGATCTTCTCTGCCTTGGGCTTTTGGATCAACGACTCCTAGACTTAGAATGTGATCGCTCTCTTGATCTGTTTCTTGACTGTCTGTGTTTAGAAGATGATCTTGAATGCCTTCTTTCTTCTTTGGTTCTATAGCAGCCGAAATTAGGGACTGTGCTTCTTGTACTCTTTACATAGCTTCCTCTATTTTTTTTTAGACAGAGTTTTGCTCTTGTTGCCCAGGCTGGAGTACAATGGCACGATCTCGGCTCACTGCAACCTCCACCTCCAGGGTTCAAGCACTTCTCCTGCCTCAGTCTCCTAAGTACTTGGGGTTACCGGGATGTGCCACCACACCCGGCTAATTCTGAATTTTTAGTAGAGACAAGGTTTCACCATGTTGGTCAGGTTGGTCTTGAACTCCTGACCTCAAGTGATCCACCCACCTCAGCCTCCCAAAGTGCTAGGATTACGGGTGTGAGCCACCACGCAGGGCCTCTTCCTCTATTTCTTTACTAGAGGTATCCGATTTCAGACTTGGTGAAACAAGACCAGCAGCCACATGCTTCAACTTGGGATCAACAGTACTCATAAGCTTCAGCAACTGATCTGTGGCAACAGACTGAGTTCAACTTTGCTCCAGGAAGCCCAAGGGCAGCAAGGGCAGGACCAAGAGTAGGAGCCCCCAAAGCAGCCGGTGGAACTGCGCCAGTCTGAGTAAGTGGGTTAGGAGTAGGCTGGAGCCCAACACCAGGCAGAAGACGTGCCACTGCATTAGCTGGTGCCAACAGAGACAAGCAAGCCTTAGCCTTATCAGGAATAACTCCTTCTGCATATGGTACATTATCAAAGCTCTGTCAAGGAACACAGTGTCAGACGTGGTGCCACAACTGCTGAGTCTGGATCATGGAACTTAACAAGACTGAGATTGGCAAAGGTGAATGATCCAGCGGGAAGAGGTGTGGTTCGTCGATCTTGCCTGGGAAACCGAAGAGAGTCCGCATCTGCTCAGAGCTAGCGCTCGGGGAGATTAGTCATCTATTACCTCGGTGCCACAGCCTCCACCGCCGCCACCACCTCCGCTACTAGGCCCGCCGCTGGGGCCCGGACCCGCAGTGCTGGGGACGATGGTAGTGTTGCTCATGGCGCTGCTCGCATTCCCGCTCCTGCTTTAACACATCAAACACACAGCGAGGAAGGGAAAGAGGAACTGGTTCGTGGGAGGAGGGTGTCCGATGCTCCAGCCTCTGCTGCTCCAGCTGCCACCGCCACCGTTTCTCCACCCAGCCAGACGCCGCGGGGGAGGGGAAGCGAGCACGCTAGCTGGAGACCACGAGAAAACAAACGGCCGCCTCCACCTCGCCTCCAACCCCACAGTTTTCATAATTAACTCTAGCTGTAAATAAGAAAACATACGTGGCAACATCTTGGAAATACACTTAGGTAATAATGCCAGTGTATTTTTGTTCACAACAAAACATATTTTTACTTGGAATGTCTAAGTCCAAATGTTTAGAAAAACTATCTAGAAAATCTGATACTTAATCCTGGCCTCTTTAACAGTTTTGAGGTCTGTTGCGCAAATATGAATAACTTGATTTATTTTTTTAGACGGAGTCTGGGACTGTCGCCTGGGCTGGAGTGCAATAGGGCGATCTCAGCTCACTGCAACCTCCGCCTACCGGGTTCAAGTGCTTCTCCTGCCTCAGCCTCCCGAGGAGCTGGGATTACAGGCACCCGCCACCACGCCCAGCTAATTTTTTGTATTTTTAGTAGAGCCACAGCGCCCAGTCTTCAAATAGGTTGATTTTCTTTCTTTCTTTTTTTTTTGAGACGGAGTTTCGCTGTTGTTGCCCAGGCTGGAGACAATGGCGAGATCTTGGCTCACTGCAACCTCGGACTCCCGGGTTCAAGTGATTCTCCTGTCTCAGCCTCCCGAGTAGCTGGGACTACAGGCATGTGCCACAAAGTCCAGCTAATTTTTTGTATTGTTAGTAGAGATGGGTTTCTCCGCGGTGGTCAGGTTGCTCTCAAACTCTCGACCTCAGGTGACCCACTCGCCTTGGCCTCCCAGAGTGCTGGGATTACAGGCCTCAGCCACTGCGCTGGGCTTTTTTTTTTTTTTTTTTTTGAGACGGAGTCTTGCTCTGTCACCCAGGCTGGAGTGCAGCGCACCATCTTGGCTCACTATAACCTCTGCCTCCCAGGTTCAAGTGATTCTCCTGCCTCAGCCTCCTGAGTAGCTGGGATTACAGGCGCTCATCATCCCATCAGGGCAATTTTTGTACTTTTAGTAGAGACGGAGTTTCACCATGTTGGTCAGGCTGGTCTTGAACTCCTGACCCCGTGATCTGCCCGCCTTGGCCTCCCAAAGTGCTGGGATTACAGGTGTGAGTCACCATGCCCTGCCTACTGAATAACTTCATTTTAAAATCCCATCATCAAAAACCATTTATTCAATTGAATTATATGTAACTGCACCTGCTAGGATCTTGTGCGGAATTTCCCAATTGACACCCATGGGCTGGAAATGGGTTACAAGGTCAGCTTCAGAAGGCCTAGTAGGGTCCCTGCAGGGCTAAGGCTCTTGGCATCACCTCCTGCTTGTTTCAAGGTGCTGTACAAACATCACTTTCTATGTGTTCCACACATGAAGAAAGTTAGCACCAACACAGTGCTTGTTTCAGAAAAACTAGACTTCTTTCTTTTTTCCATTTCTAACTAAAGAATTAAAAAAAAAAAAAAAAAAAGAGAGAGAGAGAGAGAGAGAACAGGTTTCGCCATGTTGGCCAGGCTAGTCTCGAACTCCTGGGCTTAAGGCATCCACCCGTCTTGGCCTCCGAAAGTGCTAGGATTACAGGCATGAGCCATCACACCCAGTTGACTTTTCTCCTTTATTTAGTGTAGTTCTCATATCTGGCAAAAGAAAAAAAAAAGCCACCCCAAAAACCTACCTATGGAGATTTAAAACCTGCACAGGTCTGGGCCCTGGCAATTCTTACTGGGGACTGGGGGAAAGACAGCCTTGAGTACTGTACTTTGTTTTTGTCTTTCTGAAGATTCACTGTCAGTTCTGAGAAGTCAGACTTGTGAACCACGGTCCTATCCTGGCATCAATTCAAGTAAACATGACTGCCAAAGAATTTCTCAAGGTCCAGATAAGTTGATACCAGACATTGATCAAGGTAACTGCACAACTATCAAAGACAAAAAACTTCAAACTAAGTAAACACAAGTATTGGATCTAGATTATAATATTTTCTTGTTGTCTATGTATAAGATACAGCATTAAGAGATTTTAACCCCTTTTTAAAAGCTGGTGTGCAATGGTGCAATGTCAGCTCACTGCAACCTCCACCTTCCGGGTTCAAACAATTCTCTTGCCTCAGCCTCGTGAGTAGCTGGGATTACAGGTGCCCACCACCACGCCTGGCTAATTTTTGAATTTTTAGTAGAGACAGGGTTTCACCATGTTGGCCAGGCTGGTCTTGAACGTCTGACCTCAGGCTTCCCAAAGTGTTGGGATTACAGGTGTGAGCCACCGTGCCCACCTAGTAATTCTTTTTCTTAAGAGATGGGGTCTCGGCCATGCGCGGTGGCTCACGGCTATAGTACCAGTACTTTGGGAGGCCGAGTTAGGAGTACTCACTTGAGGCCAGGAGTTCGAGACCAGCATGGGCAACATGGTGAAACTCCCTCTCTACAAAAAATTAGCTGGGCATGGTGGTGCAGGCCTGTGGTCCCAGTTACTTGGGAGGCTGAGGCAGAAGGATGGCTTCAAACCAAGAGGTTGAGGCTGCAGTGAGCCATGATTGCCACTGCACTCCAGCCTGGGTGACAAAGCCAGACCCTGTCTCAAAAACAAAAACAAAACAAAACAAAAAAGAAAGCTCAAAGAAAGGATACTAAGAAAGAAAGAAAGAAAGAAAGAAAGAAATGGGGTCTCACTATGTTGCCCAGGCTTGAGTGCAGTGCTTATTCCCAGATGTGATCCCACTACTGATCAGCACGGACGTTCTGACCTGCTGCATTCCCCTCTGGGCTGGCTCACCACTCCTCAGGCAGCCTAGTGGTCCCCCATTCCCAGGAGGTTGCCATACTGATGCTGGACTTAGTGTGGACACCTGATCAGCATAGTGCACAAAAGCCCACAACTCCTGGACTCAAGTGATCTTTTTGCCTCAGTCTACTTGGTAGCTGGGACTACACAGCCTTGCGTCATTGTGCCAGCTACTTTAGTAGCTTTTAAATGTCTGTTTCAAATCTATCTCTGGAGAAATTAGACCAGCTCTGAAGGCAGAAAAAATAGGATATTCTAACTCATGAGGTAAAATGCCCCTGAATCATTTGGGGAGGGGGAAAAAAGATGAGTTGTGAGCAGAGCCAAGATGGTCATTCATATAATTCATCCTTAGAAAAAATTAATTCTCCATACTCCCTTTAAATACAACAAGTGATTAAGCAGTAACTTAATTGCTCTCTTAAAAGTTTATATAATAAATAATCTAGAGGTCGGGTGTGGTGGCTCATGTCTGTAATTCCAGCACTTTGGGAGGCTGAGGTGGGTGGATCACCTGAGGTCAGGAGTTCGAGACCAGCCTGGTCAACATGGTGAAACTCCATCTCTACTAAAAATACCAAAATCAGCTGGGCGCGGTGGCATGAGCCTGTAGTCCCAGTTACTCAGGAGGCTGAGAGAGGAGAATCAGTTGAACCCGGGAAATGGAGGCTGCAGTAAGCTGAGATTGTGCTGCTGCACTCCAGTCTGGGCAACAGAGCAAGACTCCATCTCAAAAATAAAAAAAAAAAAAAATTCATCTAGAACAGTGCTGTCCAACAGAACTTTCTGTGATGTTGGAAATGTTCCATATCTGTGTAGTTCAATATTGACTACTTGAAATGGGGCTAGCATGACTGAGGAAATGTTTTTACTTTTATATATATGTAATTACAAATTTAAATAGCCACATGGCTAGTGGCTATCATATTAGATACCAGGTCTAAAAATTCTAGACCAGTAGGCCGTGGGCAGGGGCTCACATCTATAATCACAGCACTTTGGGAGGCCAAGGTGGGAGGATCACTTGAGGTCAGGAGTTCAAGACCAGCCTGGCTAGCATGGTGAAACCCTGTCTCTACTAAAAACTACCAAAATTAGCTGGGTGTGGTGGTGGGCGCCTGTAATCCTAGCTACTCAGGAGGCTGAGTCAGGAGAAGCACTTGAACCCAGGAGGTAGAGACTGCAGTGAGCCAAGATCGTGCCACTGCACTCCAGCCTGGGCGACAGAGGACCAGTGAAGTAAGTATGATTTCACCCATGATCTCCAACTCATTTGCAGAAGGGGAAACCTTTGCTCAAGCTGTCTTGTAACTTAGTTTACTTGAGTCTGAATTCTGTGCTAATAGTTCCTTTATCTTGAACAGTCCGGGTGGATACAGAGCAGAGCTTCTATCCTTCACTGTTAACTAAGAAGAAGACCCATCTCTTGCTGTCATTTTCCATTTAAGTGGAAAAGGGACTTTTTCCTGAGTTCTTAATGACTTCTTTGGAAGAGATTTTTTAAGTTGGGAATCTGTCTTAACAAAAGCAAAAAGCCCCATAGAGTAATCACAGAATACTCCATTTTCTCAAGAATGTCCTCCTGTGTGTACATCAATAAACTCTTAAGATGTGCAGCAAAACTAAACAGCTAAAGAATTTGACATGCGCAGGGTGAGGCTTTAGGGAAGGCGGGGGTCTTTATAAATAGGTCATTTAGATAATAACAATGTAAATCTGCCTTCCACTCTCTCTCCGGGCACATCCGAAAGTCGAAGATCCTGATTGAAGGGTATGCTGCCCATTGAAATCACTCGTCGTTTAACAGGAAGCAGGGAAATGTGAAGTGACTTGAGTAATAGAAGAATGTAAATAAGTCTCTTTATAACTGAAGGGGTTATTGAGATTACTTCAGAAGTTTTAAAGTAATTTGAATAAATTATCTATATGTTTTTCCTGTCAGTAAAACCTGAAAACATTACTATTGTTATATAGTCCTAAGAATCAATAATATTTTAAAAGATATAGCTAGACTTTATAATATTTCCCCTTTTCTTCAAGGAAGATAGATTATGTACCTGTGGTATATTTGAAAGCAAACTTTGAAGGCCTGGG